AAAAGATTACTAAGAAAAGTTAATTAAGATTAAAAAATTAGAACCTGATTAAAATTTCATCATTCTAATCTAAGAGCGTTCTTGAACAAGTGACCTTTTTTAACATCCTCGCTTTACTGACCATATTTCTTACTTTCATAACTAGTGAGAAAATCTCAGATAGTGCAGAGTGCAATGTATAACTCTGACACAGTTCCTGCAACTCANCCCCCCCCCCCAAGCCATGATCCCAACACATGTAGTGCACTCTGCAGGCCTTGAATCACTATCCATTGCCCTACCTGGCTGCACAAGACAATTATTATACATAAGAGAGTTCATGTAAAAGTGGCCCTCAAACAATATTGCAAATAAATTAATGTACCTTTTCTTCATTGGCCCTTTTTGTTTTATATTCATTGAATGCTTGTTTTTTCTCATTCATTTTCTTCAATGCTCCATATCTGGGATCATTGACTATCATTCTCATGGCATTATCCCATGAGGAATTAGATGGAACCTCCTGTAAAACAGGAATAGGGCAAGTCAACAACATACACCTACGAGAATAACAACATTTACAAGATCCCTCTGATAAAGAAAATAAGTACTAAAATAACAATTGTTCTCCCTTGGGTTTCCTTGACAAAACTCCTACAAAGATAAATCATCTTTTCAAAAGATTCTGGCTGTGACAAGGCCTCGTAGACACAATGCAAGAAATACATCAGATACAAGAAAGACCTAGCATCAATCCAGGAGTGTGAAAGACAATATTTAATTATGAGATTAGAAACTCTGATATGAGTACAGGCAAACATTCTGTAAGCAGACACCTTCATGGCCAGAAAAAGTCTCTGCTTAACCCATTGACTCCTGGAGCTTTTTGCCAAAAATGCATTTAATGGACATTTTGGAGATTTTCTGACTAGAAATGGGTCAAATTAGCTCCAATCTACTCAAAAAGGCATTTGCAACAAGACAGCATGCCTTTCTTTCCACTAGCATCGCGTTTTACGACATTTTTGCTTGGGCATGCACAGAAATCAAAATTTTGAGAATTTTCGACGAGAAAGTGACCTACGTCTTTAGGCTTTTCACTTTTTCTATTTTTTTTCGCCTTTCCTTTCTGTCCTTTTCTTTTCTTTTTGCTGCAGTGATCGACCTTCTACTGGGCTTGCTTCCAGTTTAAAACATTCCGAGAAAGCATCATCGAGACAGGCAATTTTTGCCATGGAGTGGCCATGTGTTGAGACAGGAAATTTTGCTCTGAGCTTTTCACTCAACTTTCTGAGCATTTTTGTGCATATCTCAGGCTCCATTGGGCTGATCACTCTGATCTGGGTATCATTGGAAAGATCTTTTCCTCCTGCGGAAGCTGATCCATTGGTCACTGGGCTGGCTGACATCAAATTTGTTATAAAGATGTGGAAAAGGTTGAGTCCTTTTAAACTCATGATTGAACAGGAATGTGCATGTAGCTGGAATTGCAGTTAATCATGTTGCACATGAATCTCAAGGCTTCAAAAATTAATCATCCGTATGAGATTTGAGCTACAGTACAAATACACACTGACATATTGATCCCAGAACAAGTGCCCCATGATTACTTTTCCCTGAACACTGAATGTCTATTTTATAAGTCTTAGTCTCCAGGCATACATATACAAAGTTCTGTTGATCCCAGAGTTGCTGGCAGTGGCCAGAGCTGCCACAAAATGTATCGTAGTTACAGCACTACAGTAGCTGAGACCAAAGTAAAGCACTCCATCCTGGCTACATGAAAGTTTCATTTTCTCTGCAAATTATACATAAAACAAAATCTCTGTCAACAAAAAGAACATATTTATTAACATGCCTTTTCTCTGAGGAGTTCCTTGAAAGCTTGTTTTGCTTCTTCCTTTGTTTCATAAACATACTCTTTCTTCTCCACAGTGGCAACAGCTGGAGTCTCACTGACGTTCACAGCACTGTAAAGGTTACACAGCAGTTTAGACTATACAAACTTGACCTTTTTCAAATACAGAGCAACCCAGCCTTACAGTCACCTTGTTATTACAGCCAGTCTTTTTTGTCCTGGTGGAACAACCTCACATTTTCTTTTAAGAAAACCCTGTTAATCTGGCCACCCTGTTAGCCACATTCTGAAATCCCAACCTGTATAATCCTTTACAATTTTAGACCAACTAATACCGCCACTCAGACCTGTTATTTTAATCTTTCCGAGGGCTCGAAAAAACCTCCATCCAGTCGTCTGGGACAAGTAGATTTTCCCTTCGGGCAAGTAACTTTCTCTCCTTACCTGCCCCACAGGCAAGGACCCAGGCAAGCCGTTTGCCAACTAAATTTTTGATAATGATTTTGAGAAGTTTGACGAAAATTACAATTTATAGTGCTGTTTTGTTGGTTGTGTGACGTGTACTCATGGCTTAGAAGTGGTTGCCTAGCACATGATCAAAATCTGCCCTGATCAAATTTCTTTCCAGGATTAAAAATAGCCGTGTTGGACATGAAAATGCTGTGGTTATTTCTTAAAATTTTAGCAATTTTCTGCGAGCATTTTCCAGTTTCTCTGTACAGAACTTAACTCAGCAATAATATATTAAAGCTGTAGAAATTGTAAACAAAAGAAGTCGCATATTTCTACCGCGAAAACGAAGCCAGCATTTTTTATGCTAAAATCCAGGTAAACCTCTGTTTTTGGCAAAACATTCAAGGTTGCTAGTGATAACATACTTGGGCGACACCACGCAAAATGAAAACTATTATATTATTAAAAGAAATGGATAAGTAAGTCATCAAAATACTTTCAGAGTTCCTGGAACTATTTTTCATTCACCCAAATGAAAAAATTTGCTCTCACCGGCTTTTCAAATTCAACACTGTGCCTGTGTCAAAACTGAAGTGGAAAGGTGACTAGTTGTTATAAATTTCTCACGTATCTCTTCACAATGATTTCGTGGAGCTAGACAAGATGCAGGTGAACATTCAAGGAGTCAAACGCAATCTTCGACAAATTAAACAAATTGATTCAAGGTTGTATAATAACAAAGTTAATTATTACAAACCGTACAACTCCATAAAAGCAGAATGAAGAAGTTAAAAGTTGTGGAAGTATTACAATATAATGTGGTAAACATGATAGTGATCAGCACTAAGAGGACTACAGTAAAGATGGGTTTATTACATTAAAACATGCCTGTAGTTTGAAATCCATTTTTAGGTTCATGAATTATTAATGAGTTTGAAAACTTGGGCAAGCGGGGAAGTGCCCCGGGCAAGCAAAATTTGAGAGTTACTTGCCCAATGGGCAAAATGGAATTCAAATATTTTTTGAACCCTGTTTCCATTGTTAATATTGTATGTAGTGATTGAAGTTTCAACTTTTTTTTTTAAATTGATACCTGCATTTTGAATGGTTGTTGTGTAAGTGTGTAATTGCGAAGCCTGTCAAGACGTCACTTAAAATAGACCAGTCATGAAATTTGACCCTACCCCGTTAATATGGTCAAATTTTTACGGCCAGTTGGTGACCATATTAACAGAGTTCCACCATATCATTATGACATAACATAATGTTACAACTATTTTGGAATTTTCCTTTGTTTTATGTGTACATTATATATTTTACCATACACCAGAACAAAGGAAAAATGATGCCAAATTGCCCCAAAGGTGGAATTGAACCACAGCAGTTATAATTATGTAGCAGTTCAATTGTAGCATTTGATTATTCACCAATCTTCAGCGAAGCTTCGCCCTTTCACCACTTCCGTCTTGTTCATCTTTTATCTAATCCTATCAGTGTGGTGGCTGCCTGGAATGGCAGCTCATGGCTGGGTTATAGGGATTTTCCAGCCATGGGGGTGGTATTCTATCTAGGGGCTGGCTGACCACAACCTCCACATAGTGAATCAATTGGTTAATAAAATACTGCATTACACAGATATGTTGTGCTTAGACATGTGTAAAGGCTCACACACCTTGCCATGGGATAATCTTGAGTTGTTCCCTCAACAGTTTTTTTGGCATCAGTGTCACCATTTTCTTGGTTTTCCATTTCCTCATCTTCTTCAGATTCCTCCTCCTCCCTAAAACATCCAATGAACACAATGCATGTACTACTATAACAAAATTGATGTTTTCTACAGAAATTTCTGGAAGAAAACTTTGCCCTGAGTACAGTTTGTACCCATGTCATCCTCCTCGTTGTCATTTACTAGTCAGGTTTGATAACTACATCTACTACATAGCTAAGACAGCTTTGCTAGTGACACAACATTTGATTGCTGTTTCACGTGGCTCTCCTTATGATGTAGTACATGTACAGCCACAACACCTAACTAGTATACTGAGAAAAGGGTTCAAATCTCACTCAAGGCAAATTTCCTTTCAAACATAAAGAAAATCTGTTTTTTTGTGGTATATGTTTCAAGAATTCTCTTCGCCTGCACTGCAGAGAAAACGATTTATCACTGGTATTTAAATTCAGTATGTAAGGCATGCTAGGGATCTTTCAGACATATGTTTTTTTCTGCATAATATACAACGACTGCCGCATTGATTTTATACATTTGCAAAGCTTTGATCAAGATTTTAACTTCAGGTGATAGTGTCACAAGAAAGGTAAACAATCATCTCAGTGAAAAACACATGCTTCCTTAGTTACCTAGAAGGCAACTAGCTAAACTAGCCATTTTAACTGTCAATCAATGAGGATTTGGAAAGAACAAAACTAAGGCCTACTTGACAATTAATTTAACTCTATATGTACATTGATACCAACACTTAAGAGCAAAATGCTGTGTTTATAATTTATAAGCTTGAAATAGTGCATCGCAAATTTCTTACTCTTCTTGCTCTTGCTCTTGCTTGATCAGCTCTGTAAACAAAGACAAAATCACAAGCAAATTTTATGCCACAATAATCTGACACCATTAGTTATCATTTGACTTGCACTAAGTACACTGTCCCAAGGATATTTAACAATTAGACCCGTAGCCCGCAACGGCTATGGGTCAATAGCCCATGAGGCAAAGCTGAATGGGCTATAGACCCATGGCCCTTGAGGGTGAAGGGTCTAATTGTTTTAGTATCACCCAACTAGTCGGACAGAAAAGGCAATAATAAAGTTTGCAAATGCAAGTTGAAGAAATGTTTATTTGGGAATAAAATGAAAGAAAACGTCACGCTTGATTGCGCCAATTTCGCTACTCGCAGACTATTACTAATAGTCCTCTAGTAGCATAGCTAATCAAAATGCAGGATTTGCATCGAGCATGACACTTTCTTTTGTTTTATTCCCAAGTAAATATTTCTTCAACTTGCATTTGCTAACTTTATTGTTGCCTTTTCTGTCCGATTAGTTGAGTGATACTAAAACAATTAGACCCTTCTCCCTCAAGGGCCACAAGTCACATGCCCATTCGGCTTCGCCTCATGGGCTATTGACCTATAGCCCTTGCGGGCTATGGGTCTAATTATTAATTAGAACAGCCACCTGTGACAAACTCCGATGAGGAATCTCACAGATTCTTTTTTTTTACACACCAGATGGAAATTATTACCCCATTTGGTGAATAACCCAATATTTCTGCTTTGGCGGTGGAGGTCGTTTCTTTCAGACCTCTTGTCTTTGCCTTCTTCTTTTTTACCACCAGTAAAATCCCCTTAAATCCGTTATGGAATTTTGAAAAAAACAAAACAGTGAGATTTTGCATCTGTAACTATGTTTCCAAGAAAAGTGTTTGTGTCTGTCTTCCATCAAGGAAGATAGAAACTAGTTCAGCCAATCTCGTTTTGTTTTCTAGCCAAAGTGGCTAGTGAAAATCGCAAAGTTACTGGCCGAAACTGAATTTCTACTACAGTAGTCTGTGGTTAGTTGGCTACAGTAAGTTTTGAGCCCTGTTCTCAACTCTGATTAAGCTGCATGTATTCATCAGTTATACATGAACATGTATCAATAAGAAAGTTCATCAATCAGATTTAACATACTGAGTATGCTAACCACATGCATGGGATATTACTTAAACTATGGGTTACCTTTGAAAGGCAAGCCACATTTCATACCACCAAAGTAAGGAAACTGCTAAGGATGTTTGTCCAACTTACCCTTAAGTTCTGCCAATTCCTTTGGTATTGTCCAGGTTGATTCTTTTGTTTCTGTATTGTGGTAATATATCCTACCAGTGTCTGCCTTGTGCTCTTTCCAAGGACAGGAATCAAGTTGAATCTGACAAAATAATACAAAATAAACCGTCAGTGACTATAGAAAAACCTACCAAAACATACCATGTTCAGGTGTAATGTCACTTCATAAACACTTTGTCACGGATTTATACATGTACATGTACCTCTCCAGGAGTCTTAAGTTCTGCTGGTTTCTGCCAAGTAGAAACTTTGGTTTCAGTGTTGTAGAAGTATGTTCTACCATCAGGTGCCTTGTGCTCTGTCCATGGGGTCTTCTTCTGCAAATTAAAACAAAACTAGGTCAATCATTACAAAACCAAGTAAATGCAACACTAGTGGTTTGTGCATTGGTTGGACTCTGGATCAAGAAATTAGAGTTTGAGACATTGCAGGCTCACTGCCTTGTGTTCTCTGCCAAGGCAAATTATGCTGGCAGTCTATTGCAAGGACAAAGACTAAAAAAATGGGTCGTAAGCACTGATAAAGGAAACTAAACAAATCATAGAGTATGATAGACTTAGCATTGTAACAAGGGGGAGTACACATGAAGTAATAATCCTAGTTGCTTCATGCAATGGAAACAGGTGGAGTTGGTAATAAAGGCACCTTGTAGTGTAGACAGACATTTTACAACAAATTAATATACATGTATGTACCTTCACAACTTGTGATGGAGGGAAAGGTTAAAAGTACAATGTAAAAAGCAAAGATTTTCTATAGAATCAAACCTTTGGTGTTTTAGGTTTCTTCACTTTCTTTTTCTCCTTCTTGGCTTCTTCTTCTTTCTCATCCTGCTGTTGTTCAGGCTTGCTGATCTGTGTTGGGCTGTCTGTTGATTTATTCTCTTGTTCTTGCATTTGTTTCACTACTGAAGGAGAGTTGGTTCCTCCGGTAACAGCTGCAACTTGCTGTGGTCGCACAGCAGTAGGAACTGTTGAGAGCAGAGAATACTTTAAGGTAGTTCCATGTAAAAAGAAGGAGTATTAAAAAAATTGTCAAACTTCATCCAGTTAGTAATCATGTTATGTACATGGATATTTGAAAAATGCAATAAAAAATAGGGGTCACAGTGGTTGTTTTTGTACAACATGGATGGCCTTTATAGCACCTTTGCAACTGACCAGGTTGCCATTACTTAGCCTTAGTTAGCAGAAAAGGGCACTAGAAATTCCAAGACAGGCATTAAGATCATATTACAAACTTTCCAATTCTCTGTGTGCACACATACCCAGCACTCCCTAAAGACATGTTCTTTACAGCATTAAAATCAAAATATTTTTAAGCAGAATTTTAAACTGTTCTTCAAATTGAGATATGTTGTAGATAACCTCGTGTAATTTTAATAAATGCATTAAAAAGTGGGGGTCACCATGCTCGTTCAAGAGAAAACAAGCATTTATTTCGCTGTAGAGCTTAGCTTGAGGGAAATCTCTTGCGTTGTGTACAAGCATGCACTTGTGTGCGCATGCTAAAGATGCAAAAATCGTGTGCAGTAGGGATGCGCAATGTAATACTGAGGAATCACCTTAAGCAAAGCGTGATAATAGTAAGCAGTAGGTTACTCCAACCGAAAGTCACTGGACAACAAGTAACAGTTGTTCTTTTTTTCAACACTGTATGATCCAGTACCTTAGTCCAAATATATATCTATAAAATAATACACTGTAGACAACTTTGTTTCTCTCTCTCTGTGTTTTAACTGCTTCACAATATTTCAAATGTGTTCCACAAGCATCTTAACTTGCTATATATATTAAGGTGGCTCCCTGTAGTTTTATGATTGCAAATGTGCAGAGGGCAAAAGTCAAGTAATCTGCGTATGCTCGAAGTACAACCTCAGTGTTTTTTCATATTTTGTGACATCAACAAGAGCACAAAAAGCAAATTTATTTACACTGACAGTGAATTTTCTCACTTTTCCTTCCGTGAAATTCTGTAAAATTCAGCACACTGG